AGTTGTCGGCAGCTGGTTTCAATGATGACTTAAGTTTGGCATGTATTATCCGATCACGGTGACGACTTGTACGATTAACCTGAGAACCATGCCGGCCAAGCCGCTCGCAGATGTGCGACGTTGCATTAAATCCGCGTAAGTTTTTTTGTGTGTGTGTGTGTAACAGCGGTCCAGAGGCCTATGGTCAAATAATGGATCGCGGATGCTCACAACAATGTGACTGCGTCTATAGTCTCGTTGATAGTGCTGCATACATTTTTTGTTGTTTTTAAACGCGTGCTGCAGCAGGGTTAGTTTGTGAGCAGCAGAGGGCAGTGCAACGATACCCCCCATCTGTACCCTGTAACTGTGTGGAGGCTTTCCCATCCATCGGTGGATTGACAAAAGGGCCGTACTAAGTGCACGTTATCGGACCCAGCACTGTCATTGTGTTCTTGTGGTCATTAACGCAGACGGATGTTTACGTAGATGGACGATGCACGAACGACCGGGGGGGGTGTGTCACTCTTTGTGTTTTTTCGGTAAAGTCACGTATAAATAAGAAATAACGAAATAACATAGCGTACGACGTTTCGCTTGCAACACAAGCAGCCATCATCAGGTACAGAAGAGCTAAATTTACGAGAGAGAGAGAGAGAGGAAACGCATAACCCCAGATGTATACACAGACACCCAAGTAGGGGGGGAACTAACGCAGATACAACAGGGGACACAGAGAGAGAGAGAAGCATACCAAACACGAAAGCTTCGAATCAAGTCTGACCGGGGAGGAGGAGGGGGGGGTGGGTGTGTTTAGCTGGATTTAATTGAAAGCGTTTCGCTGTCTGAACGTCGTCTTGGCATTTGGGGTCAAAACATCCTCGCGTGTTTACTGTTAACGCGCGCGCCTTGCGCGTTCATTTTTTTTGCGCCTGTCCCCCCCCCCCTTTAAGACGGTGGGACGCAGCAGCAAGATGCTGCAGCACATCGACTACAGGATGCGCTGCACCCTGCAGGATGGGCGCATCTTCATCGGCACTTTCAAGGCGTTCGACAAACACATGAACCTCATCCTGTGCGACTGCGACGAGTTCAGGAAGATAAGGTGAGACTAGCCGCGTTGTTGTTGTTGTTTGGTTGGATTGTCTCGCCCCACCGTAGTTGTGGCTGCAGGCGGCCGTGGTTGGCCAATAGGCACGTGACAAACTCTTTGCCTCCTTGCGGTTCTTTAAAATTGGCACGAGTCGGTGGTTCGATTTGAAGAAAATATTTTGTTTACATTTGTAAAAATGTATTTAAGTTGGCTTGGGCAGTCCTTTTGTAGCCCTTGGTCGAGACAAACGACTGGGAGTGGCAGCTGTGGTGGATGTCGAAGCGACAATTGGCATTGGTGCAGGGAAACTAGGTGGTTTCTCTGGCGGAACCATGAATTGGCGATGGCTTGGAGGTCTTCATCCATCAGTGGCTGCACTGGACACAAATACGGAGTCATTTAATCTATTCTTACTCGCACGAAGGTGATGCGTGTATCATAGAACGTAATTCACTTTAAATGACGAGTTGCTTGCCTGATGGCGTAGGACTCGTCGTATAAGTTTGTGATTTCATATCCCCTTGTGGGTGGACTGGGCTTGTCATCCCAGATGTGGAGTTCTGGGTTAGGCACAGTGGGTGGTGGGCATTCTTCTCTCACCCCCAAGCATTCCCTACGATTGACAGCGGAAACGCATCAGGAGTTGAAACGAAGGATCCCACCTGGTCCTCCACAATTATTAACTTGTCTTGTTCATCCTGCTTGTCGTGCGATTGGACAGCGACTGAATGGTCACCATCCCAGGCATACCCAATTTGCCTGTGTGGGCCTGTCCAGGCATGCCCAGTTGCATGTCTACTAATGACCTCTGGAAGGGCTCTATCCAAATGTAATCTTTGCTTTTATCCGTCGTCTTTTAAAACATTTACTGGTGGTGGCTTGGGCTTCTGTGATCCCATAACACACGGCATCAAATATCGCTGGTGTGTTACACTCGCTACGAGCGCACGTACAAGGCTGTCCCTTTGCGGGAGCACACATGGTCGGGCAACGGCACGCAACGTACAGCTCGGAGGCCCTGGCAGGAACACGGAATAATTTGGCTCATCGGATGCGAATTATATTAAAAAAATCGGTTAGGAGTCCACAGCACAAATGGATGAGTGAAGGGAATAGGGGCAGCAGAGGAGAGCAGTCTCTTAATTTTGATCGCGAGTTGATATTGCATGGAGGGGAGAAATCTATTCAATCACAGCAATTAATCAAATCCCCCAGGAGGGGGAGTGAATGTTACATGCTTGCCTGCCTCGAGAATCTTGCTTTACATGCAACGATTTTCTTGGTCGCCCCTTTGCCACGAGCAGTGTTGTTTCAGGTCCGGTGATGATTTGACCTCGGCTAAAAGCACCGTGTTGAAACGTTGTGTACAAAGCAGGATTACTCTGAGGACCTCGAGACAACAACAAAAACATACGTTCTTAAAAGTCAAATAATTTGTTACTGAAAGTCTGCGTCCAATTCATCCATTGGCCGAGTTTGGGCAGGGTTTGTTGCCAACGTGGTCAGGGTCGGTCGCGTTCGCTGAGCCGCCCGTCCTGAAACGCCGCTCCTAGGCCCAAGAACTCCAAGGCTGGGGAGCGTGAGGAGAAGCGCGTGCTGGGTCTGGTGCTGCTCCGTGGAGAGTCTCTGGTCTCCATGACGGTGGAGGGGCCCCCACCGAAGGATGTGAGTTGCTTCTCAACGGGGACCCTACTTTGCATGTTTCACCAAACAATAGTGAATGCGCTTTTTCGTTAGACTCCCGTTTTTGAGCGATGAAATTAAGTGGCCTGTGATCAATTCATATCGTAGGGCTGGCTTAATGGGCGGCAGGTACTGTAAGAGCGCCTCTCATCCACCATCGGTAGTGGTGCCTCGTTACACAAAAACGGCAGAATCTCTGTTCTCTGGCCTTACAATAATAACAAGAGCAGGAGACTGTTCTATGTGTTGAACCCTATTCTACGTAGGTACAAAAAAAACTACGGCTTCTATAGCCGTTTTTTTAATTCAACTTACATTTGTTTTGTATTCTGTGTGTGTTGTGTTGTTTTGTTAAGGCCACCCATTTCCCCAGACCAATCTTAGAGTTGACCGTGCAGTGCGCTTTACCCTGGTAATCGTCACAGTCGACGACAGCGGCTGTGTGGCGCAGCGGTGACTTGGTGTTTTACCCCCCCCCCCCCCCCCCCCCCCGCGTTGTGTTGCAGTCTGGCATCGCGCGCGTGCCGGTGCCCGGAGCGATGGGAGGGCCGGGCATGGGCCGTGCGGCCGGGCGCGGCGTTCCCGCGGGTGCCCCCGCGGCACAGGCCCCCGCCGGTCTGGCCGGGCCGGTGCGTGGCGTCGGAGGGCCTTCCCAGCAGGTAAGACGGCCGCGTGGGCGTTGGCAGTCGCGCCTGTTGCATCGTCGCACCCTGACGCCGTCCGGCGCCTCCGATGAGCGTGCTCGGTTATGTGCAGTGCGAAAGACGTTCAACGCACGTTCAGCCGGCTTGGCTATGTTACTCTTGATGCACACACACACACACACACGTCTGATCTCGCGCCTTGCGAGAATGGCGATTCGCCAAAGTGATGTGCTCATTTGACTTTAAGGTCGCCAATAGCACGGTTGGCTGCGTACGGTGCAAAAGGAATTGCCGCGTGCGTGTACAACACTGCAAACAAGGCAGTGCTTGGCGACAATGCATTTAAGTGAAGTGAGGGTTAATTTTAAATTCTCTCAATGTTTCGGGCGAATTGGGACGTTGATAGGCGGCAGCTGGTTCAATGATGACTTTAAGTTTAGCATGTATTATCCGATCACTGTGAGGACCTCTTTTTCACCCTGAGAACCGAGCTGCCAGCCACTCGCGAATGTGTGAAATTGTTTAAAATCTTTCGTGTCGGCGGGCCTCGGCAGAAATTGCTGGAAAAATAACTTCGAATCAATATTTTTATGAAATCTGTGTTCTTGGTGAAATTCGGTTACCTAACAAATTGCTGCGTAATCTTTGCAACATTCGTCGAACGGGTATTTAACGTCTGACCTGTTTGTGCGGGGAAGTGGCCCAAGCAAATTGCCACTTCCTCATTAGGCGCACAATCGCCCGCATCTTTCAAAGTGAAACGTAACGTCCCAAGTCGGTGGGATCGCCCCGGCAATGCGCAACTTCAATCTTATCGGCGTGTCGTTTCCCCGGAGCTGTCTCCAGTTCTTTGCGTCGGTTATCTGTATACTTATTTTGTTGCCGAGGGGCTCGCCTGCGACGTGTTTTGTGACGACGCGTCGTGTTGCCCGCATGCCAGGTGATGACCCCGCAGGGCCGGGGAATTCTGGGCCCCACCATCAGCGGATCGCCACAGCAGTACCCGGGCCCGCCACCTCCTGGCGGGCGCGGAGGCCCCATGCCCATGGGGCGTGGAGGTCCCCCAATGGGTGAGTAACGGCGGTGGAACAAAAAAACGCCCAGTTCCCGGCTAGCGGTGTAGCGTCGCACCGGCGAATTTTGTACCGATTGTTGAGCTCTTTGTTACACGCGTCTGATCTCTCGCCTGTGAGAATGGTGATTGGTGAAAGTGATGTGCTCATTTGACTCTGAGGTTGGTAATAGCACGGTTGGCTGCGTAAGGTGCAAAAGGAATGGCTGCGTACGGTGCAAAAGGAATTGCTGCGTACATACACGGCTGCAAAACAAGGCGGTGCTTGGCAACAATGCATTTGTAGAAAGTGAGAGTTAATTTTTTAAATTATCTTAATCTTTCGGATGAATTGGGACGTTGATGGGCGGCAGCTGGTTCAATGATGACCTAAGTTTAGCATGTATTATCCGATCACTGTGGGGGACCCCTTTTTGCCCTGAGAACCGAGCCGCCAGCCACTTTCAAATGTGTGACATTGTTTAAAATCTTCGAGTCGGCGGGACGCAGCGGAGATTGGTGTTATTAGTGAAGTTAGTTTGTTTTTTTTCCCCGTCCACCTAACAAATTGCCGAGTAATCTTTGCAACGTTTGTCGAGCGAGCGGTTTTAACCTCTGACCTGTTTGTGCGAGCGCAACGGTGAAATTATTTTGTGACTCGGCCCTCGTTCGTGGCGGAGGCGGGGGGTTATTTTACCGCGTTGCTAACCCAGCCGGTTCCTGTCGTGGCTTGCCCGCGCGTGTGCCTAGGGATGATGGGCCCCCCGATGGGCATGCGTCCGCCCATGGGCCCTCCAATGGGCATGCCTCCCGGCCGGGGCCCCATGGGAATGATGCCCCCGGGAATGAGACCACCACCGCCCGGCATGAGAGGTGAGTTTTTCCATGCCTTGCGCACGTGGCGACGAGTGCCCGGCCGAATTGCCCTCGTGAAAATATGCATCCTTTGTGTTTTTTTTTGTGTGTACGGTGTATATGACTTATTGTGTTATATAAGCTTGCGTGTTTTTAAAGAAGCCGATATTTTGGACTGTGTCGGTCACGCTTGAGGGCCCCGCACGCAAGGGCCATTTGCCAAAAAACCGGGAGTTGTCTTTACGTGCAAGGTTGATTTTTAGCACACCCCTTGTACAAGCACGAACCATTTGGTGACGCGGCGGCAATGGTGGGCGATGTTGCGAGCGCGGCAACTCGGCACGTTGGCCAATAAACGCCGGCCTTGGAAAAATAAAAATGCAGGTGACATTCTGGGGGAAATGGTCCTTTCGCAGCACACGCGTGCACCGGGTGGTGGGGGAGAGGCGCACCGTTCTCTTGATGGCCTCTGTGCTGTGAATAGCATTTCGGGGCCATCCATTTAGTACGTACGCAAAAATCTGTCAGCTTGACCCCCCCTCCCTGTGTACGCACGTGTACTTTTTACATCCACCCCCCCTCCTACCTGTGTACGTACGCTTGATGCACCCGCCCGAATCCTATAGAACGGCCGATATTTTATCCACGCAGAATCGATCAAGGATGAATAATGAACGTGTTTACGCAAACAGTCCACCGCCGGACTAACTAATTTGAAGGCCAATGGAGACAAATTATTATCGAGGCTTCACCCCCCCCCCTCCGTTTCCTATGCGTACGTACATTGTCAGTAGAGCCCCCCCCCCCAATACGCAAGCGTACGCATTTGGGTTACCCCCCTCCATGCGTACCTACTAAATGGATGGCCCTTTACTCGAAACGTCCCCTATTATGTGCCTTGTTTTCGTATCAGCACAGTTCTGATATAACGGGACTTCCCGTTAGACTGGTCGGGGGAAGAGAAATTCGCGTGATAGAGGCACACAGATTTATTATCGTGGGAGTCTACTTAAAGTCATCATTCTATACTCCTGGTTCTTTCGGTAAAGTCACGTAGATATACTTTTTCCATCTACGCGATGACTTTACCGAAAGAACCAGAGTGTGGATTCCTGCAGTCACAGAAAGCTTCAAATCCGAGATCCATCGTACTATGTTTAAAAGCTTACATGGTAGAATTTGACTGCGACAAATAGCAGGTAGCGTGCTAATACATTTCGGCATCTGCTTGACAACCACAAATTGTTCCGTAATATTGTGGCCTGGGAGTTGACCGGGTGTTTTTTTGTTATTCCACATTTTTTCGTGCGTGTGTGTGTGTGAGGAGAGTGGCCCTGAACCTCGCTCCGCTGACTGGGCACGTGTGTGCCCGTCGTTCTCTCTGTTGCAGGGCCCCCGCCTGGTATGAGGCCTCCACGACCGTAAAGATGCAGTGGATGGAGAGAATCCTGCGTGTTTATATAAATAGCCGTGTTGGCCTGGGCGGGTGTGAGAAAGTAATTGATTTGTGGGGTGTGAAAGATGACGGGGTAGGTAGGGGGGGTGGGGATTGACGGGGTAACCAGAATTGCAACTTTTCGCTCCGTTTCGGACAAGCTGGCGGGTGATCGAGTGGTGAGAGGGTGAATTCATCGTGCCCGAGGACAAAAAAAAAAAACGCGTCGTCTTGCTCCAAGAATTTACGGGGGAGATGTCGTCGTAAGGGAACCCTCTCGGGGGGGGGGGGGGGGGGGGGGGGGGGGAAATGACGCTTTCGAGAATTACTCGGCCGCCTGCGGCGCTGTTTCCTCCGATCGTTGAGTTGTCCGCGTTTGGCTCTGTGTGGGCTACTGGGTCGCAAAAAAGGCTCGTCTCGTTTCCGTCGGCTCGTGCGATCCTGCGAGTTTTCTATTTTGTTCCCGTGGCCCGAGTGTTTTTTTTAAGAATATTAAATCGCAACTGTGTCCTGGAAAACCTGGTCCTCCATTTGTACTCGTCATTGCTTTCTCCCCTCTGCAAGTTCTTCGACTTTTCAAGCAACGTCTGAGGCGTCTACTGCCCTAACTCTTGACTTGGCTCTGTAACGTGGGGGAACGATAACCCGAAAGGATAATTGCACCCCTGTGGCCCCAGGCCAAGACCTCCCAGGTGAGGTCACAGTAATGTGACCTCGTATGGATTTAAACGTAACGTCACTTCTAATGCTTAGGAGGGCAAAACCAGTGTAGAGCAAACCCACGACATGTACAATTACTCTCCCAACACACACCACGATACGTGTCCATCGCAAAGGTCCAGTCCATCGGAGATCATCCCTCTCCCTGCCATATTGGCACCGCACACACCCCTCCCCTCACCCTTGGGGGTCCGCGCGAACTCGCTCGGCTGCCCTGGAAACGCCTGGAAGAACGAGTCGTGTATGGTGTAGTAGTTTATAGTGTAGTGCTGAAGTTTGTCACCAGGGAAAGGGGAGGTCTGGACCGCCACTACTTGACACGCTGCCGCCCTGACCCTCGCCATCGAGAAACGAACGGAGGCAGGTGTGCCGAACTCGGAACGAATTGTGGGATGTGTTTACGTGACGAACCTTACGAATTGTCCGTCGGGTGGTTGGTGGGTTTAACGACACATTTACGCGCTCTGTAATTGCATTTTATGAAGCGTCATTCGTGCGATTTGCATCCCACAACGCTGCACATCAATTCGCAGGGTCCCTCACGTGGTACAAAAAATAAAACCCGCACTGCTTGGCAAATCGGGAACTAAAGAATGAACAGACGTAACGAGAAAAAAAATACACAAACCAAATAATCATCGCAACCCCAAAACACCGGGATAATATCGGTCGCGACAGCCGTGTTACTTCGTGTTGAGCTCGCATCCATAACTTTTAGATTTTATGGGGGAAGGCCCCATGCCACTTAATCCCTTAACGCAGGGGTCCCCAACCCCCGGACCGATACCGGGCCGTGGCCTGTTAGGAACCGGGCCGCACAGCAGGAGGGGAGAGCGGTGAGTCCGCACGTGACCCGCCCCCATTATTTTATTATCTACCACTTCCGTCCGCGCCTCTTTCCCGCACACTGAGCACTCGTCTCAGTGTTGGTAAGCCCGCAAGCTCTCACCCCTAGTAGCCACAATGAGTAAAAACACAAACGTAGCTGGAGAGCTTCCTTTGAAAAGGGGGAAAGACCCAATGATGAACCCCCCCCCCCCCCCCCGGTCCTATAAAAAAATATTCCACGAAACTGGTGCCAAAAAGGTTGGGCACCACTACGTTAAGGGATTCTCTGTATAGAACATGTCTACCAATACCCACCATTCGCCACTGAGTGGTTAATGGCACCTGGCCTGCACGAGGGCCAGGTGCTCTTTGTGGCTACTTGGAGGTTTACGGAACAGACCCGACAGGTGTCATGGGTTGGCTGACTGAGATGACTGGCCGATGAACCAACTGTGCCCCACGACAGTGCCAACTTCAATATTCGCCGCCAAGTGACGGTGAGGTCACCGTCCGGCGCTTGTGCCAGGCCAAGTGCACTTTGAGGCCAAGCGAAGTGTCGGAAGACTCGCCGACGGGAGGTCTCGGGACACACCCAGGGTGTCATGGGGTCGGCTGACTGAGATAACCCGGTAGATGCACCCAGCTGTACACCCCCCTACTACTGTGCCAACTTGCTGCGTATTAGCCGCTCGTTGTGAGCGTCGCTCCACTGCCCTCCGTTGTTGCTGGAGGTGCGACTGCCTCCCAACAGCGCAAGTAGCAGCGTCCTTCACGCGCCTCCTGCATAGCACGCAAACTCACGGGCGTCTATCACCGGGACCGTATATGAAACTGCTGGCCACCGTGGCGGCACTCCGGCAGCTCGCCCAACGTGCCTGCCGCTGTTAAACGGGCGTGGAAATGCAGCGAGCACGAATTTTTGTTTTAAAAAAAAAACAATTCCAGAAGGTTAATTGGGCCGCACCGTTGTCACGAGAACGTGGTGGTGGGGAGTTTCCCCAACCCTTTTGAGTCCTCGCTTTTTTTCCTTCCTCTGCTGCTGCTGCTTCCTCCGCAAGACGACCATCGACGACGATTAACAAAAAAAAAGTTGCGGATGTTTGGAGTTGCGTGTAAGTAACAAAAGAAAGAAAGCGAGCGAGCTTTTTTTTTACACACTTAACGGGAGATTGCACACCACACAGTGCCGGACTAAGTTCGTGCGACGCCTTTCGCACATGTTATAAAGGGGCCCTTAAACCAAAAACGCGTAAATATTAAAACACAAATTTGTAACCTGCATAGTAAAAAAAAAATTGTTATACAGCCAGATAATACGACAAATCGCTCATAAACACCCGGTCGTTCTTCAACGTTTTAAGGCAGTATAGTACTGTAGTCATAGAGCAAGTGCAGAATCACTGAACCGCAATTTGGTATCTTGAAAGCGTTTAGCGCGGCGGCCCTTGAAAAGTACGCCGCATTTTCTAGTTAACTTTTGCTACGAAGATCATGCGGCACTTACACCACCCCCGTCTCTACCACCCCCATCTCTACCACCCTCCTGTTGCGTGGCCTCGCTCGCTCGCTCTCCGTGCTCCGAGGGAGATTTAACCGCGTGAACGTCACGTGGACGTCCTTGCAGATGGCCGCGGCTGGGCCAACCTCGATTCGTTCCGTTGTTTGATGAGCGCTCGGTGGGGGTTTTATTTTTTTTCGGACTGGTGGCGCGGTCCAGCGATGGTGCAGTTAGGGGCCGTCCATAAATGACGTCACGCGATTTTGGACGATTTTTGACCCCCCCCTCGTCACACGGCGTCATAAAAAGTCAGACCCCCCCCCCTCAAATATGACGTCACAAAGCTCTGCCCCCCCCCCAAAAAAAAATGCTTCAAATCGCTTTAAACTATTTGTCATTGTAGTGCGTATTTAACGTGGCGCTGCACTCTGATGTTGTAGGAGGAAACATTTAATAAAAAGTATTTAATTAAGCTAGAACGTGTTGCCTATATTTATTTAAAATTGCGCATTCTTGTGTGACGTCACATTTCTCATAACCCCCTCGTCACACATCGTCACAAATGTCTGACCCCGCCCCCCCCCAGATGCGTGACGTCATTTACGGACGGCCCCCTTACTGGGTTTTTGGCGCTGGGGCTTCTTTAAGAGGACTGCCGCTACGTGACGCGTGTCGTGTATGAATGGGGGGGGGGGGGTCACCGCAGCCACGTCTCGTGTTCACCACGGTGCATTGCAGCTCTTGATATATTGGGGGGGGGGGGGGGGGTTATTTTTTTTAACTTTTATTTTCTATTTTGACCGAAATTCGAACGAAGAAATGTCTCGGTTTTTTTTTTGTGTGATCGCACCGAGCCTCCCAACGCTCTGGGTTAGCGGCGCTTCAAATCCAGCGCGCCGCGATGGTTACCGGTGAGCTTCACGCGTTCCACTTTTAATTTTAAATACAATTACAGGCAGTCACCCCCCGCCCCCAAATCAACGATGAAATCCCATAGCCGAAAAAAGTTGTGGCTCCCAATTATCCGATTGCCGGTTCGTTTTCTGTCCGTGCTGCATCGACCATTCCCTTTCTCTCCCTGTACCGTGTCGCTGTACACACGCTCTGGTATCGTCACACGGCGCTACGCCCTATATAGCTGGGTCCACGCTGATAACAACAGCAGGCAGCAGCAATGGATCTGTTTAACACGAAGGCTTTCGCGACAAATATCATCCATGATCTGGCTGCCGCCCGATGAAGCCGGTTGTGATTGCTGGCGAAACGTCGTGCTCAGGTTGTAAATGTCGTGGCCTGGTTCTCCAACACACAACTATACACTACACTATACACTACTATACACTACACTATACACTACACTACACACTACACTACACACTAATATACACTACACTATACACTACTATACACTACACTATACACTACTATACACTACACTATACACTACTATACACTACACTATACACTACACTATACACTACACTATACACTACACTATACACTACTATACACTACACTATACACTACTATACACTACACTATACACTACACTATACACTACTATACACTACACTATACACTACTATACACTACACTATACACTACTATACACTACACTATACACTACTATACACTACACTATACACTACACTATACACTACACTATACACTAGTGCTGTACCAGTGACGAATTGGCCACGTTCTGTTTACGTGACAGCCCTTACTAGTTGGCCGTGTCGGGTGGTGGCGGGTTGTAACGACACAACATTTATACATTTACGCGGCGATCTAACCCCCAAAAAAACAAACCCCCCCCCCCCCCCGCCTATTATGATCAATGAATCGTTGGCACTTGTCTCACGCACCAACGCACTGAGCGTTCCCTTGTGCGGAGGGGGACGACTCAGGGACGACTCTGGGACGACTCTGGGACGACTCGGCGAGCCGTGAGCAGCCTGCGCCAACAATTTACCCGAAGCCCTGCGCTCCCCTACACGCTAAGATGTTTTTTTTATTTCCTCTCATTGCTTTGCACTTTTCCCCGGACAATTTAAATGCGGGTGTCCATACGCGCGGCGGGGAACCGGGAGTTGCCCGGAGGGGGCCCAAAGCGCGCTCCGCGCTAAGTGGAGCTGGAGCGACTCTCCTTATCCCATAAAGAGGAGCGAGCGGATGAAGGCCTCGAAATTCTTCCTGCGTCGCCGTTTTCTCGCGGCGAGTCAGAGGCATGGCGCCTTCTTGACGAGCCACGCGTGGGGTCGGGAAACTTTCGCAACACCCGTGTGCGATGCAACCAACCCACGCCGCTGACCACCCCCCCACCCACCCACCCACCCCACACGGTGCCGGATTGCAAGACACGCAGCGTTGCGCGCAACTTGATCTCTGTTGTGCGGGCGTCTCTGCAACCGGTTGCTCGCGACAGAGAGAGAGAGAGAGGGGGAGAGACTCGACTTTGAAGCCTCGCTCCGCTCGC